GCCCCTGGCCCCAGCGCCCGCGCCCCGTGCGCCCTCCCCCGCACTGGCCGCCCGAGTTTTTAAAGTGGGTCGGCAGCCGCGGGAGCGGGACATTTGGGAGCAGCCCGCCGCACAGCTCCGGCGCCCGCCGCGCTCCCGCCCCAGCTCTCCTGAGGCGGCCGTACAATCCTCGGCAGTGTCCTGAGACTGTATGGTCATCTCAGCGGCCGCGCTCGCCAGACCTCGGACTCCTTCGGATTCCAGTCGTTCTACCCACTTCTTTTTTTTCTTGAAAACCCAGAAAAGTCACTCCTTTTCGAGGAAAAGGAACTTTGGTTTTTCCTCTCGCTGCCCTCTTTTCGCATTTGACAACCTCCTCCCACTTCTTTCCCGGACCCCGCCTCCCTTCGCAGGTTCCTCCCCGTCACCTTTCTCCACTCCCCTACCCCCGCACCTAGCCAGCCTCCCGCAAACTTCCACCTGACTGCGCTGGGCGCTCGGAACCTGTGAGCACTTAGGACCTTTTCCACCCGCCCCGGCGAGGACCACAGCTAAAGCAGCGGCTGCAGCCCACCAGCAGTCGGATAATCCAGGTGCTCGGCGTCTCAAGGGGCCACACGACAATGACAGCTGACAAGGAAAAGAAAAGGTAAATGGCCATCGAAGCCAGCGAGGGAGCTGGTGCGAGGGGATGGCCGGGCTGCGCGAGGCCGGCGCGACTGTGAGAGATTGGGAAAGGAGTGTAGAGAGGTCTTCGTGGCCCGAGAAACAGTTTGGAAGGTTTGGAGGAGGAGAGCAGGTGCCCTGTCTGGGAGTGCGGATCTGAAGCTTCGGAGTGAAGAGTTCTGGGACCCGAAGGAATCGGGCGTCCAGGCGTGAAAAAAAGGTCGGGCGACCGGGGGAGATGGCCTAGGAGGACGGAGGTACTACCGAGGTGCCCTCCAAAATTTCCAGGTCCCCAGCAACAGACTTCCGCGGCCGACTTGTAGAAAGGTCCATGAGTTGGTGCACTCGACTTTCCCACATCTCATCTGCGAGGGGAGGCAGCGTCTTCCCCCTTTCTTTCTCTCGGCCCCCGTGGGTTCCTCCAAATGTGCTCATATGCCCGCGCTGCGCCCCAAAATGGCAAGGGGCCAGAGGCGGAGCGCTGCGCAGGGACGCGCCCCCTCGGAAAGGCCGGCACGCTGCTAAGACCCCTGCACCCGGGCTCCGGACCTTATAGAAACTTGGCAAATCCCCTTGCTCGACTCTGTTGCAGAATGGTTAGTGGCCAGGGTTGTCCCGTGGGGTCAGGTATCTTATTGTACAGGGCAAGGATGGCGACACTCAGCGCCCCCCGGCAGGTCCCGGTATCTCTCTCTCAAGAGAGCAGATAAGGGCAACTACAATCTGCCCACCTGTCCTCGCGAGCCTCACGGCACTGGGTGAGAGGCAACTCAGGCCTACTCTCGCTGCTCTCCCGCCCTCTCTTGGCCGCTTCCGGCCCGGCCTTCTGCGGACGAGAGTGGGAGCGCTCCGCGCGGTCGCGCACTTGGGTACTGCCTCCCTGCAGTCTTGCGCGGCTGTGGGCGCACCGCTGGGTTCACCGCCTGCTCGCCCACTTTTATCTCTGTTGTTGCTACCCTTAGTGAGCTTGGAGACCTGCGTTCGGCCGCGGCTTGTTAGGGCTGGGTAGGAATCGAACTCGCAAAGGGCAGAACCACCTGAGCCGCGGGAGACCAGAGGCCAGGGCAGCAAAGAGGTGTTGCAGGATGTGCAGAACCGAGCCTCAAAGGGAATGGCTGGCCCTGAGACGGGTGCTGGAGAGCTCAGGTCCCTGCGTTGATTTGTGCTTGTTCCGACTTCCACTGCTAGACTGGAGCCGGAAACTGTGTATCTTCTGGTTGAAAGCGGCAGTTTCCACCTCCGGCACCGATAAGTACTTGATACCTCATTGCCATTGACTGGATTCCAATTCATAACGAACCTGAAGGACCCAATAGAACTGCCTTGTGGGTTTCCAAGGTTGTAATCTTTACAGAAGTAGACTGCCACAGCTGTCTGCTGCCGAGCTGGCTGCTGGGTTCGAACCACTGACCTTTAGGTTGTTGTTGTTGTTGTTTGCCATTGAGTCACACCGGACTCATAACGACCCCTCCTTGGGTTTCCCAGGCAGTATCATTACGGAAGTAGATTGCCCAATCTTTCTTCGGAGGAGTAGCTGGTGGGTTTGAACCGCCAGCCTTCTGGTTAGCAGTCAAATGCCTTAGGCACTATGCTACCAGAGCTCCTTTAGGTTAGTCGGCCCTTAACCACTGTGCCAGCAGGGCTCTTTAGGACTTGGTAAACAGGAGCGAATCCCATCCCTCCTTCCTTGCGGGCTCCGGGTCGCCTGGGGGAAGGAGTTGAGCACAGGTCCCTCTTCCTGGCACATGATCCCTTTCCCTCCTCCTCTTTCCCGTCACCTTCGAGCTCCTAGACCTGTGCCAGGTGAGGGATCCCTGGCTCGGCCGCCTGGCACTCTGAAGCGGCAATTGTTATGCCCTCAAGGGCCTCGGAGCAGCCTTGGGTCCTGTGTGTTTTTGAGAATAGCAAAGCAAGGAAGAGACTTTAGGATTCCAACGCATTTTATAAAATCAATATAACCAACTTAAAATGCCAGTAATAATGACTGGAAGAATCAAAAAGCAAAGATACAGTCAGCTCTCTTCTGCCAGTACTCTCAGCTATGAGCTGGCCCAGGAATTTATTGTACATTTTACAACTATGATGTCTATTGGTGAATGTTGCAATCTTGGAGGTGGGGCCTGATGGTAATCTTGACAAATGTGTGAAATGTCAGTTTCTCCCCCGGCTGAGTTCTGTGCTATTATTATGTACATTCACCTTTGCCAGACACTTGGGAGCAGGGAAAAAAATATTTTGACAAACCTGGCTGCAATGCCTCCTCCTTTATGCGGCAGGCAGAGGGATAGAGGGACCTACAATGGGTGTGGGAAGAAAGTTGTGTAATTTGACTCCAAATTATTTGAGAGAGTGGCCACTTTAAGAAACACCGCTGGGGATTGCTTGTGAGATTCCAACAAGGCAGCTGCGTGTTCTGCTGGCTGAACTGCTTGGCAATGCCAAATGTCCACTCTCAGCTACTTGCCTTGATTTTTGTGCCACAGACTGGTTGGAGAGACAGCATGCCCTTCACCATCCAGAGTCCCATGTGGATTTGTTCAACTGCTGTTGGACTAACTGTTTTGAGATTTACTATTGGCATCTGGCTCTGTTTACTGCCTTCAGGCTCCTTGAGGGACCCAAGGTGTAATTAAAATATGTGATCTAATACCTGGGTTCATGGGAGGTGGTGTAAGTGGCTGTGTCCTTAGTTCTCATGGAGTGTTTCACAAGTGTGGTGTCGTACTCAGGGGCACTCCCCTGTTGATTACATGCACTAATTCTTAAAGATTTATGTTTCTTCAGGTTTTGTCTCTGGGCCACAGAGCCATTTCTCCCCTAAGCTTAAGGTACAAATAACATTTGCAGTGTTTCTTCTAAATAACATCCCCTCAAGAGTGGAGAGGATTGTTTAGTTCCAAAAACATTAATGTGCCGATAGTCCTAGACTATTGCTATGGAGTTGATTCTGACTATGTTAATGTTTAATAATGAAAAGAATGCTTTCTAAATGTTGACTGGCTGGCCTTATTAGTACCAAAACTTGCTTTTTTTTTTTTGGTGCAAGTGGACATTCCTTATGACATCAGAGGTGATCAGAAATGGAAGCACTTTCACTCACTCTGATTTACCAGGAGTGAGGTAGAGGTATCTAACCAGGAAGGGTTCTGATCCTACAAAGAGCTAGAACGTGTCTGGTGACTCACCTCCATATAAAACAATTTCTCAGTCCTTCTGAGGGCCATAAAAGACTTATTCTGGAAGTTCTTTGGTGCATGGGGATTGGAAAATGGTTCATATAAATGTAAATGAGGTCTTGAATGATCTGGGATCAAAGACCATCCCACAGCCAGTCCCAGCTCAGAGTCTTTCAAAAAGACCTATATCCTGCTTAGCTCTGGTAGTAGTGCCTAAAGTACTTGACTAACCAGAAGGCTCCTGGTTCAAACCCACCAGCCAGTCTTCGGAAGGAAGGTTGGGCTATCTACTTCACTAGTGATTGTGCCTCAGAAATCCAAGGAGAGGTCACTCAGGAGTCAGGTTGGACTCCACGGCAGTGAGTTTGGTTTTCTTGTTTTGTTTTGCTTCTGGGCCAGCTGTGGAAGGGGAATTGGGGACATCTGAATCAGACGTTTTCAAACTATCTCCCCTTCCCCCTGGCAGCTGGACTTAGTGGTTCCTCTGCTAAAATAAAATCAAAGTCCATCTTCCTTCCAATTCTGAAGGGAAAAATATTACTAGATAGTCTTTTTTCTATTGAAATGTATTTTCTGTAAATATTTCTTCAACATTAGCACCTGTTTCCATTGCTTTACAATCAGGATGATATGGAATTGATGTAACATAGTATGTTGTTGTTGACTCATATGTGCTTGAGTGTATGTGCTGTTGAATCAGCTTTGACTCATAGCGACCCTGTGCACAACAGAACAAAACACCACCTGGTCATGTACCAGCCTCACAATCCTTGATATACCTGAGCCCATCATTGCAGCCACTGTGTCAATACATCTTGTTGAGGATCTTCCCATTTTTTTCTTTTTCTTTCTTTCTTTCTTTTTTTAAATTGTCATTTGGGTGAAAGTTTACAGAGCAATATCACTTTCCATACAGCAGCTCACATACACTTTGTCTCATGACATTGACTATAATTTCCCACAATGCAACAGCTTCCTTCCTACTTCCTCCCTATATTTTCCCTGTGTCCTTCCCTCCATGCACTCCTGTCCCCTGAGCTGTCTCCCTATGTATACACAGCCCTTCTATTCTCCCATGATTGTTCTCTCCACGGAGTGTATGGACCTAGTGTAAATGTTCACCTCATATGTCTGTCTTTTGTTTGTCTGGAAGCCACAGGAGTGGGTTCCATTCCAGACTCGAAGGGCAGATAGGGGCCATAGTCTTAGTGGTTCCACCAGGCTCCATTGGGCCAGAAAAACTGTTTTCTGTTTTTTTTTTTTTTTCCCCAATGATTTTGAGTTTTGTTCCACATTGTTCTGCCACTTTATCCAGTATCTCCTACGTAGATCCCCTTCTGAGTGGTTGACAGTGGTAGCTGGGCACCATCTAGTTCTTCTGGTATCATAGTCATATAGGCTGCGGATTGCATGGTGTACCAGTTCCTTGGACTAATTGTTTGCGTGTGTCTTTGGTTTTCTTCATTCTTCTTCACTGTGGATGAGGAGAGACCCATTGTTGCATCTAGATGGCCACTTGCAAGTTTTTAAGATCCCGGCAAAGTAGGATGTGGAACAATGTTTTGTGTAGTATGTTATGCCAATTTAGCTTCCCCTGTGACTATGGTCCCAAGCCCACAGGTCCAACTACTCACTCCCTCTGGGTATCTGGCTGGCCAAGAAGTGACTACAACTTTGTTCCTTGTCAGCTCTACTGTATACCTGGGAATTCTTACAGAACATACCAATATACTTGTAGAAGCATTGTCTGCCAACCCTATACATGGTCTTAGGTACATTCCCCCCTGCATATACATACCTAATAGTTCAGCCTGTCCACCCATCTATTCACCCATAGATCCATGTTTGCCTTCACTGACAACACAGTACTGTATGTACATAATGGTATGTCTTTGTTGTCTGTACCTCCCATGTACGTCTCTCTGTCTTCCTCTTCCTCAATGACACCATGTTGATCACTCACATTTGGTACATTGCCCTTGTCTTCACCCAAATCAATACTTGTCTTTACCTATCTAACAGTGTTCCCTCCCCTCCCCTCCCACCCCTGGTAACCAACAAAGAAAATTTCCTTCCA